TACAGGTACAACAAATACTTCAAGTACTACAAATACTACAAGTACTACAAATACTACAAGTACTACAAATACTACAAGTACTACAAGTACAACAAATAGTACAAGTACTACAAGTACAACAAATACTACAAGTACTACAAATACTACAAGTACTACAAATACTACAAGTACTACAAATACTACAAGTACTACAAGTACTACTAATACTACAAGTACTACAAGCACTGCAAACACAAGTACTACAGATACTACAAGTATCTACTACTAGTGTGTGACCCCTGTGTGACCTGTGTGTGACCCCTGTGTGACCTGTGACCTGTGTGTGACCTCAGGAGCCCCTGTGGCCGCGGCTGGCTGACCCCTGTGTGACCTTTGACCTGTGCAGTTGTCAGTTTGTGGTTCATTATTCGTTTGAGTCTCGGGTCAAAGCAGAAACGATGTTGAGAAACGCCTGCGAACGTCTGAGGCCCGGAGGATACTTCATCGGGACCACGCCGGACGCCTACGAGCTCATGTGAGTACTAGTACTACTACTACAGTACTACTACTACAGTACTACTACTGCACTACTACTGCACTAAAGTACTACTGCAGTACTACTACACTAAAGTACTACTCAGTACTATTACAGTACTACTGAGACAAAATCTCAGAGGGTACATCATCATACTCTGCAGTACTGCAGTACTGTAGTACTGTATAGTAGTATAATACTGCGTTGTGTCTGTAGGAGGCGAGCGTCCCTGTCCCCGGATCTGTCCTTTGGAAACGAAGTCTTCAGAGTCCGGTTTAAGTCCGGGTTTAAGTCCGGACTTCCCGTGTCTCTGTTTGGAGCCGAGTATCACTTCAGCCTCGAGGGCGTCGTCGACGTCCCCGAGTTTATGGTCTACTTCCCCCTCATGGTCAGGTGAGGTCCTCCAACCCCACTGAGGTCCTCCAACCTCACTGAGGTCCTCTAACCCCACTGAGGTCCTCCAACCTCACTGAGGTCCTCCAACTCCACTGAGGTCCTCTAACCCCACTGAGGTCCTCTAACCCCACTGAGGTCCTCCAACTGAGGTCCTCCAACCTCCACTGAGGTCCTCTAACCCCACTGAGGTCCTCTAACCCCACTGAGGTCCTCTAACCCCACTGAGGTCCTCCAACCTCACTGAGGTCCTCTAACCCCACTGAGGTCCTCTAACCCCACTGAGGTCCTCACAGATGTGCTTTTATTTTGAAGGATGCTGGAGAAGTTGGGGATGCGTCTTATTTTGAAACGTCGGTTCAGTGAGTTTTTCGAGGAGAAAGTGAAAGACGAGCGTCACCGTGGTCTTCTGCAGAAGATGGGCGCTCTCGAGGTACTTTTACTACTACCATTAGTATTTCTACTACTACTACGACAATGATGCTGTATCTTATTTAACATGAATATAAATACTTTAATCATATTAACTAATCTGACCTCTGACCCTCAGCCATTTCCCGCCGCAGACGGTCACCAGGCAACCAGCTCTGAGGGCGAGTACAGTCATGTGACTCCAGGGTCACGTGACCGGCCCCTGGTCAGTACAAAACACACACACACTCTGTACAGTCACGTGACTCAGTACAACACACCTGTACACAAATACTCTCCCAAACCGACGAAAAGAGGTTTAGGGTGACCTCTGTGTGACCTCTGTGTGACCTCTGTGTGACCTCTGTTTCAGGGCACGCTCAGCCGCTCCGAGTGGGAAGCAGCCAGTGAGTATCAGACTGACCCAAGACTGACCCCAGTCTGACCCTTAACTAACCGTGTGGTCCTTGTGCGCAGGCATCTACCTGGTGTATGTGTTCCAGAAAATGGAGCCCTCGCCGTGACCTCTGTGTGACCTCTGTGTGACCTCTCTGTGACCTCTGTGTGACCTCTGGGCAGTTTTGTAAATAAAAACTTCAAATGTATTTACAGATTTTTATTTTAGAAGGATTTACAGAAAACATGACATAATTACACCTGATGCCCAGAAGACCACGCCCACACTCTGATGACATCACGATGGAGCTTTCTGATTGGCTCAGGAGCCTTTTGTTTGTCGAATCATGGCCTCGATCATGTCCCACAGCTCCGACGAGACCTGAGGAGACCAGAGACCAGAGTTAGACTGGAGACTAAACCAGGACTAAACCAGGACTGTCCCACTGCTCTGAGGAGACCAGAGTTAACCCCAGTTTACATCAAACCGACGCCAGTGTCTCTTTCCATTTTAGACAGTTTCAGAAAGTTTACAGCAGCAGAGTCACACACGCGTCACACACACACGCGTCTCACACACACGCGTCTCACACACACGCGTCTCACACACACAGCATCAGACAGAAACTTTACAAGAACAACTCGTGAAGGAAAAGGAGGAGCAACGACCGAAATGAAACGGAGACGAGCTTCATTAATGCAGCTCCACAGATTCGACTCGATGTCACTACAAAACATCGACTCTAAATCTCTAAACAAAAGAGTTTAGAGTTTAAACGTGAGAATACACCAGGACTGTTCTTACTTTCCGGAGGTCGTTGAACTCTCCAGCTATCGACACGTACTCTCCTCCGTCCAAGCGCACCACCTGCAGGACACACGGAGTATTACAGTGAGGATCAATCAAATAGAACACATGTTGAACATCAGCACAAGTCGAACACGAGTCGAACACGAGACGAACACAAACACGAGACAAACACGAGTCGAACACGACTCGAACACGACTCGGACACATGGGACACAGAGATGTGAGTATCGATGTTTTGACATACTGATAAATCGATACTCACATATGCATCTTCACATTTCCAGGGTGACGTCAGCGAAGCGTTTAAAACCGACTTATTTAGATCAGTATCGAATATCAGAAAGACTTAGTATCATATCGATAATTGTGGTATTGCCTGTGGTCGGCGCATTTTAACGGAAGCGCGCGGTCGGTCGGGATGGAGTACGTACCGCCCCTGACATCCAGGTGGCATAGCTGCTGCTCATGTACAGGGCGAGGTTTTTAATCTCGTGCGGCGTTCCGAAGCGTCCGACTGGAATGCGCTCGATCAATTCCTCTTCAAACTTTCCGGTGGGATCCAGGCGCGAGTTCGCCCCCTGTGGTCAAAGCAGGGACTGCAGTCACATTTTACACAAGTTATACTGTAGTAGTGTAGTACTGTAGTGGTGTAGTACTTGTACTGTAGTACTTATACCTTGGTGCGGATGGGTCCGGGTTGGATGATGTTGAAGCGGAGTCCGTATCGTCCCCACTCTGAGGCCAAAGACCTGAGGTCCAAACACAAACACACTGGACCTCAGCGTTTAGGACAAATATACTAAAGTACACAAGTACATAAATGTACAAGTATATAAAAATATATTTCTAAAAATAAATCAAACTTTGTGCTTTTACATCAGTATTTAGATATTAAACATGTATATTTCATATTTTCAACAACATGTATTCTAATGGAAAAGTAGAATTTTCACTTGTTTATTTAATGATAGTAATACGACTAGTACTACTAGTACTACTAACAGTACTCACTTGTAAAGGGCCTCGACTCCGGCTTTGGCTGAAGCTGAAGGAACCACAAACCCAGACCCGGACTCGGCATAAATTGTCGTGATCGCCAAGAAAGAACAACCTGCACAGAACCAGGTCAGAACCTCACTCATGAAACCAGGACTAAACCCGGTCTGAACCCGGCCCGAACCCGGCCCGAACCCGGTCTGAACCTGGCCCGAACCCGGTCTAAACCCGGTCTAAACCCGGCCCGAACCCGGCCCGAACCCGGTCTGAACCTGGCCCGAACCCGGTCTAAACCCAGCCTGAACCCGGTCTAAACCCGGTCTAAACCCGGTCTAAACTCGGCCTGAACCTTTCTTGTCCCGGATCAGCCTCTTGCCGAGGTCCAGGGTCACGTGGGCGGTTCCGTTCAGGACGATGTCGACGATCGTCCTCCAGGCGTTTGGACTCAGACGCTCAGACGGACTCACGAAGTTCCCCGCAGCATTATTAATGACCACCTGAACACGGGGTCAGAGGAGGGTCAGAGGAGGGTCAGAGGAGGGTCAGAGGTCCCAGTCCCGGTCCCGGTCTCAGTCTTACATCAGGGAGTCCTGTGAGTTCTTCCATTTGATCCAAACACTGAGCCACAGCCCGAGGATCCCGAACATCACACTGCACCGGGAACACCTGCAGGGACACAACAGCTGAAAGGAGACAACATCTACAGGGACAGAACAGCTGAAGGGACACAACACCTGCAGGGACAGAGCAGCTGAAAGGACACACCACTTGCAGGGACAGAACAGCTGAAAGGATACAACACCTGCAGGGACACAACAGCTGAAAGGAGACAACATCTACAGGGTCAGAACAGCTGAAAGGACACAACACCTACAGGGACTGAACAGCTGAAAGGACACAACACCTGCAGGGACTGAACACCTGAAAGTGCACAGTTCTTAAAATACACTAATTTAAAGTAGTTTATTTATGATAAATGATTATTTTATAAAAACCTTGTTTCCCGTTTGAGCCGAGATCTCGTCCGCCGTCTTCTGCAGAACGTCCAGTTTTCTACAAAACAGTAAAATTAAGATTCACCAAAAACTATGGCCCAGGGGCCACATACGGCCACCGAGACAAACTCTGTTGGTCCTCAGGCCTCCAGGTGAAGTCCTCCCAACAGATCGTCCTGTTTCACCTGACGTGATAGAGACAGGACAGAGGCTGTTTCTGCAGGAGACTTGAGCATGAGAGAGAAGTGACGGAGTCTGATAAGCCCTCTATACAGTCTGGGGTCAGAGTCAGGGGTCGGGAGTCACACTCGGGGTCGGGGGTCACACTCGGGGTCAGAGTCAGGGTCAGGGTCAGGGGTCGGGGGTCAGGGTCCTGCGGGTACCGGCTGGCGATGACGCAGGTCGCTCCGAGCTCGCTGAGCCCGTGGGTCATGGCGCGGCCGAGTCCGGTCCCGCCTCCGGTGACGAAGGCGACTCTGTTCCTGAAGGATTCTGGGGGAAGCATCGTGGTGTCGTTTGGAGGGAAGAAGGCGGCCTGCGGCAAGGGGGCGGAGTCACGCAGGGACGAGGAGGCGTGGAGCTGCCGCAACTTCATACAAAGAGTTTATATTTAAGAGTTAAAATAATTTATAACACACAATGACTGCAGTGCATTTCTGTTTAATAATTATATGATTGTAATAAAAAAATAGTTATGACAATGGCCCCGTGCGGGACTCTGCGCTGTCGGCTCCATTAAGGAATAAATGAATCTTGGGTTCATAAAGAAGAAGGAAAATAACAAAAGGACGACAGCAGCGATAAGTTTTAAAAAGGACGTAAAAAGGGTTAAACTGTCCTGTGTGAGAAAAGTTTAAAAGTTTGTGCTGACGGGTTTTACAGACTTAAAACAGATACAATAATTGTAAAATATAAAGTTGACTTTGTGGATTTCACCTGTGGCGCGTTATTTTGAGAACAAAACCCCCGCGATAAACGAGGGACACTGTACTTCACTTCACAGACCTGAGCACCTGGACTCACACTTGGCCCGACCGGGATGGAAAACGGAGAATTTAATGTACAAATCACAGATAAATGTGCATTTGTGTTTCGGTGTGTTACAGACTGACTGTACGTGTGTGTGAGTCACAGACGCTCCGAGAGACGCTCAGTTTAATAACGAACAGCAGTGAAAACCCGGACATTAGACATCAGATAAACGCGTGTATAAAGAGAATATAAGTATAAACTCTGCTGTGGCTGCGCAGGAACTGGGGGAAAGTTCATGAGCAGCAGATCTAACAGTTTTAACTCGGATTTGAGGCACTAAAGGCGGATACGGATCACGCAGCCCCCGGTACCTCCTCCGTTTGTGAAATGAAGTGAAACTCGAACCTTCTGTCCCAGTTTGAGCGCAGAAATCCTCCATGAAGACGCAGAAATCCTCCATGAAGACGCGCTCCTGAACACAACCCCCGCCGCCATTTTGACACCTGTGACCGCGCATGCGCCCTGCCTCAGACGCGTTGGATCGATAATTTAAAAAAAACTTTTATAAACGATAGTTTTATGCTTCATCCTGGTTTATTATTATTATTATATTAAAGTTACATCAGCATGTTGAAGCTTTAATTCGTCACTTTCTCCCACAGAACTATAATAAATGATTAAATATGTATAAATTGGTGTTTTTAGATTCTCGAATGTGGTGACGTCATACTCTCAGATGGGGGCAAGAGCCAGTTTTTCCCATTATATTTATCAATTTATACTTTATCATGAAATATCGGAAAGGTAAAACCCAAATATGAAGCCTGATCATTTCTCTTATTGACTCGACCCAAGAGACACAGAATTACAAGAAAAATCCACAGATGAACAATATTGATTTGAGCTGCGCCTGTTTGTATAAATAATATTCACCTGTAGAACGTGTGACGTCGTCTGAGAATCTGAGAGTCTGAGAATCTGAGAGTCTGAGAGTCTGAGAGTCTGAGAGTCTGAGAGTCTGAGAGTCTGAGAGTCTAAGAATCTGAGAGTCTGAGAGTCTGAGAGTCTGAGAGTCTGAGAGTCTGAGAGTCTGAGAATCTGAGAGTCTGAGAATCTGAGAGTCTGAGAGTCTGAGAGTCTGAGAGTCTGAGAATCTGAGAGTCTGAGAGTCTGAGAGTCTGAGAGTCTGAGAGTCTGATCTGAGAGTCTGAGAATCTGAGAGTCTGAGAATCTGAGAGTCTGAGAATCTGAGAGTCTGAGAGTCTGAGAATCTGAGAATCTGCAACCGACAACACTTCAAATTATAGAGACACTTTTAGTCATTTTAAGTGGGCGGGGCTGTGTGCGGCAGTAACACACTACACCCTAACTCCTACACCCTAACTCCTACACACTACTACCTACACCTACAACTACTACACACACCTAACTCCTACACACTACACCCTAACACACTACACACCTAAACTCCTAACACTAACCTACACACCTACACACACCCTACACCCTACTCCTACACTACACACACTACACCCTAACTCCTACACTCTAACTCCTACACACTACACCAGAGGTGTTCACACTTTTTCATCATGTGAGCTTCTTACAAAACTACCAAGTCAAAATGATCGACCTTTTACAAAGTCAAACAAACTGCACTGAAACACTCTGTGGCCCTTTTGTGGACCCTCCCCCACAGTTTGAGAACCTCTTCTTTAAGAGAACTTCCTCTGACACTTTACACAAAACTGTGAAAAAAGTGAAGGAAGATTTTTAAACCTGTATTTTAAAGTTCCAAACTGGAGTTTCATTCTTTTCTGGTTTTGCAGTGATATTTTCCAGCCTCTGCACGTTTACCAAACCAAACGCACATCGTGACAAACACAGATGCATTTGTCACTTTTGTTAGACAAACTTCAGCCAAATGTGGCAGTAGGTCTGTTCTGTAGATCCACTCTATGCCGTAGACCTGCTTTGTGCCAACACTGGAACACAAATTTAGACTTGTTTTTGCTTCACGTTTGGTCTTGCTCTTGTAATCAGCCGCACTGTGGGAGGGGCTTGTGTTGGCTGTACGCAGGAAGGAGCGAGAGCGTGAAAAGGCGAGGGGCGGCGTGCTGACGTGAGGCAGGTGGACAGGTAGGATGTTTAGGAAGTTGAACCTGCCCTGTGATGCACGCTGGTACACGAGGGCACACGCTGTCGCAGACGAGCCGTGCATAGGGAGCGTGTGTGTTTGTGATGCGCCGTAGAGTCTCCGCGGGTTTCAAATGAGCGCACAGGCTGAACTGAGACGCCCCACACGCTCCTGCACCCGCTACAAGTACTACTACTACTACTACTACACTTCTACCACCGAGTACTACAACAGGTACCACACGCTCCTGCACCCTACAAGTACTACTACTACTACTACTACTACACTTCTACCACCGAGTACTACAACAGGTACCACACGCTCCTGCACCCACTACAAGTACTACTACTACTACTACTACTACACTTCTACCACCGAGTACTACAACAGGTACCACACGCTCCTGCACCCACTACAAGTACTACTACTACTACTACTACTACACTTCTACCACCGAGTACTACAACAGGTACCACACGCTCCTGCACCCGCTACAAGTTTATTACCAACAGCAGCGGCTGGAATGAAATATGATCACACTTGTCGAGTGTCAAACCTCGAGTGAGAGACAAGACCGAGTCCAAACGTGAGTCCGAGACGAGACACAGAGATCTACACACACGACCTTGGAGATCGACTGGTAGATCGACATCGACGTATTGAGCACCACTGGTCTACACCCTAACTCCTACACCCTAACTCCTACACCCTACACCCGAACTCCTACACCCTACACCCTAACTCCTACACCCTAACTCCTACACCCTAACTCCTACACCCTACACCCTACACCCTAACACCTACACCCGAACTCCTACACCCTACACCCTAACTCCTACACCCTACACCCTAACACCTACACCCTAACTCCTACACCCTAACTCCTACACCCTACACCCTAACATCTACACCCTAACTCCTACACCCCTACACCCTAACACCTACACCTACACCCTAACTCCTACACCCTAACCCTAACACCCTACAACCTACACCCTAACACCTACACCCGAACTCCTACACCCTAACTCCTACACCCGAAGTCCTACACCCTAACTCCTACACCCTAACACCTACACCCTACACCCGAACTCCTACACCCTACACCCTAACTCCTACACCCTACACCCAAACTCCTACACCCTAACTCTTACACCCTAACACCTACACCCTACACCCAAACTCCTACACCCTACATCCTAACTCCTACACCCGAACTCCTACACCCTAACTCCTACACCCTAACACCCTAACACCCTACACCCTACACCCTAACTCCTACACCCGAACTCCTACACCCTAACTCCTACACCCTACACCCTAACTCCTACACCCTAACTCCTACACCCCTAACTCTACACCCTAACTCCTACACCCTACACCCTAACTCCTACACCCTAACACCTACACCCTAACTCCTACACCCTACACCCTAACTCCTACACCCTAACACCTACACCCTAACTCCTACACCCTACACCCTACCCTACACTCCTACACCCTACACCCTAACTCCTACACTCTACACCCTAACACCTACACCCTAACTCCTACACCCTAACTCCTACACCCTAACTCCTACACTCTACACCCTAACTCCTACACCCTACACCCTAACTCCTACACTCTACACCCTAACACCTACACCCTAACTCCTACACCCTACACCCTAACTCCTACACTCTACACCCTAACTCCTACACCCTACACCCTACACCCTAACTACACCCTAACCCTACACTCTACACCCACCCTAACACCCTAACTCCTACACCCTACACCCTAACTCCTACACCCTACACTACACTACACCCTAACTCCTACACCCTACACCCTAACTCCTACACACCCTACACCTACACTCCTACACCCTAACTCCTACACCCTACACCTAACACCTACACCCTAACACTACACCTAACTAACACCCTAACCCTACACCCTAACACCTACACCCTACACCCTAACCCTACACCCTACACCCTACACCTAACCCTACACCCTACACCCTAACTCCTACACCCTACACCCTAACACCTACACCTTAACTCCTACACCCTACACCCGAACTCATCAACAAAGAGAAGCAGGTCTGTTCAGTCCTGGTTTAGTCCTGGTTCAGTCCTGGTTCAGTCCAGGTTCAGTCCAGGTTCAGTCCTGGTTAGTCCTGGTTCAGTCCTGGTTCAGTCCTGGTTCAGTCCTGGTTCAGTCCTGGTTTAGTCCTGGTTCAGTCCTGGTTCAGTCCTGGTTTAGTCCTGGTTTAGTCCTGGTTCAGTCCTGGTTCAGTCCTGGTTCAGTCCTGGTTTAGTCCTGGTGTAGTCCTGGTTCAGTCCTGGTTCTGATCCGCTTTTTTTTACAGATGAAATGTTTTTGGCTCGAGATGAAAAAGCCAAACTTCAAACAGAACTGAAAACTGTGGAAGATCTACAAGATTTGTGACCTGAGACCAAGACCAGACTGAGACCAGACCGAGACCAAGACCAGACGAGGACGGGACCCAAGACCCTGAGTCCAGATCAAAGTTAAAGTAGAAGAAGCCCAAACCCAACGAGCTCATTTACAAATACAAATAATATAAACTTTAGTTACACATCTCCTCGTCTCCTCGTCTCCTCGCCTCCTCGTCTCCTCGCCTCCTCGCCTCCTCGCCTCCTCGTCTCCTCGTCTCCTCGTCTCCTCATCTTCTTGTTGCCTCATCATGGTTTAGGGTTCTTAAACCATCCTGTTTTTTTAAATTTTGGAATAAACTTTTGAAGAAAAAATGTTGAAGTGTGATTCCAACCAATCACAGCGATCTGAGCCGATGATGTCACTGCGTGAGTCGATGATGTCACTGCGTGAAGTTTGTGACAAATAAAGAAAATGAGCCAAACAAAATGTGTCCCTCAAATATTTTAAATAGTGAATATTTGAAACACAGAAATTTAAACACAAACTGATGACGCAGAGTTAAAGTGAGTCTGCACTGTGTGATGTCATCGGTGTGACGTCATCAGTGTGACGTCATCGATGTGACGTCATCAGTGTGACGTCATCGGTGTGACGTCATCGGTGTGACGTCATCAGTGTGATGTCATCGGTGTGACGTAATCGGTGTGATGTCATCGGTGTGACGTAATCGGTGTGATGTCATCGGTGTGACGTCATCGGTGTGATGTCATCGGTGTGACGTCATCTGTGTGATGTCATCGGTGTGATGTCATCAGTGTGATGTCATCAGTGTTACGTCATCAGTGTGATGTCATCAGTGTGATGTCATCGGTGTGTTTAACTCCACTTTGTTATTTACGTTACATTTTTCAACTTTTTTTCTCAAATTTCTTCTTGGTTTATGTGAAACTTTTTTTACATTTAAAATTGTTTTAATTTCACAGAATTAAGTCAAAATGAGAGAATCATAAAAATCTGTCGTACTCACTTTCACCCTTTAGTTTCTTCTGTCTTTTATATTAAATTGAGGATAAAACACAGCCCACAAACAAACTAAATTAAAGCTAAACTCTGGAACATTAGTGTGACGCAGCTGGAGCGGGGACAGTTCCTCCGAGCAGCGGCAGAGGGCGCTGTGGCGCTGTCCTCATTTAAACCCAAAAACGGACTCAAATAAAGTCACACATGTAGCCCACATATGTGCGCTTTAAATCACTTTAAATCACTTTATCTGACTTTATTGTCATTTATTTCACCTTTATTTAATTTTATTTCACTTTATTTGGAGCAAGGCTCGTGTCGCGCGCTGATGACGTCGCCTCAGGCCCCGGATGCACGCAGCTTACGGAGGATTTGTGTGTCTGCGTGTTTCGGTTCTGTTCGGTTCTGTTCGGGACACAGTGACCCACGGGCCGCAGCAGAACCCCACACCCCCGCGAGAAAGAGCCACAGCCCGGGGAGAGGAGAGCAGAGCCCGGGGAGAGGAGAGCAGAGCCCGGGGAGTCGCTCCAGCTTTAGCCCCATTAGCTCCGTTAGCTTGTTTAGCATTAGCCTCGGCTACAGCGGCCTCACAGCGGCCTCACAGCGGCCTCACAGCGGCCTCACAGCGGCCTCACAGCGGCCTCACAGCGGCCTCACAGCGGCCTCACAGCGGCCTCACAGGCGCATGGAGCCCGGCGGAGGAGCCCCGGGGCCGGGGCCAGGACACGGGTTCAGTAATGTCCCGGCCTTCCTCACAAAGCTCTGGACTCTGGTGGAAGACCCGCAGACGGACGCGCTGATCCGCTGGAGCCCGGTAAGACCCGGACCCGAACCCGAACCAGACCTGAACCAGACCTGAACCAGGACTGAACCAGACCCGAACCAGGACTGAGGCTAAACCACATTGTTATTGTTATTATCATGTAACGCGGATTATTTTCTGTGAAACACGAGAGTCTGTAGATAAACATCTCCTCAAACTGTTAACACCGACTCAACTAACACTAACACCGAGTCGAACTAACACCGAGTCGAACTAACACCGAGTCGAACTAACACGAACACCGACTCCAACTAACACGAACACCGACTCCAACTAACACGAACACCGACTCCAACTAACACGAACACCGACTCCAACTAACACCGACTCGAACTAACACCGACTCGAACTAACACGAACACGACTCGAACTAACACCGACTCGAACTAACACGAACACCGACTCGAACTAACACGAACACCGACTCGAACTAACACGAACACCGACTCGAACTAACACTAACACCGACTCGAACTAACACTAACACCGACTCCAACTAACACTAACACCGACTCCAACTAACACGAACACCGACTCCAACTAACACGAACACCGACTCCAACTAACACCGACTCCAACTAACTCGTGTGCGCCTCTCGCGTGCGGCTCATGTGTGGCTCGACTCTCTGTTTCAGGGCGGG